ACGGAGAGAGAGAGCGAGAGAGAGAGAGAGCGAGACAAGTTCATCTATGTGTTTATACTACTCAACACATGTATCTGTATGGTTTTACAGGGGGTCTGCACGAAGAGCCAGCAGTTTTCAACAACAACTCTTCTCGGAACCTGGCAACCGTCGTCGGACCTACTTCAGGACTTTGGCCATATGCATGAGGAAATAAAGACTATATCTTCACAAACAATACATTAAACCAACATACCTCGAGCCCGAGCGCATATTGTGGCTGTTGTGCTGCTTTGTGCCATTCATAGTCATAGCCGCTACACACATGCACACACAGACACACGCATACACACACACATATATATATATATATAGATATATATTTTTTAATACATATACATATATATATATATACATACACATGCAGACACACCTACATACCTGCCTGCCTACCTGCCTACCTTTCTACCTACCTACCTACCTACCTACCTCCCTACCTCCCTGCCTGCCTGCCTGCCTACACCCACACACATCCATCCATCCATCCATCCATCCATCCATCCATCCATCCATCCATCCATCCATACATACACGCATATGTACGATTGTACAACGTATGTACGTGCAGGCATTGCACAGCATAGCAAAGCGTAGCATAGAATAGCATCGCATCGCATAGCATACGTGTAGCGCAGTGCACAATCGCGTCATAGACAAAAGCTCAAAGCATAACAGAACAATGGCACAATCGCACCATAGCATAGAGGCATGGCAAGGCACGGCATGCAGAGCAAAAATCGCCCGCATAGCCTGCATTTACAAGCATACGCGCACGTATGTGCACAAGCATTCGTGCATGCATGCATGCATGCATGCATGCATGCATGCATGCATGCATGCATGCAGGTGGGCAGGCTGGCAGGCAGGCACACAATCCATTCATCCATCCATCCATCAATCCATCCATCCATCCATCCATCCATCCATCCATCCATCCATCCATCCATCCGTATGATATGATATGACCTGATCTGATATGATCTGACCTGATATGATATGATATAGGATGAGAATATTGCAGGACATGATATAGTACAGTACAAATGCACCTGCGCAGACACACACACACACACACGCACGCACGCTTGGGCGTGCTTTGTGCTTCTTGGTTTGTTCGCTAATCTAATCTATACAGATGTCTTAAGGCCACAGCATTTCAGGCGAGGCGCTGCAGGTCGCCATCCTCTCGCTCATGGCAGTTCTCAAGTGTGATTGGGGGCAGCTGAATGACCTGACAGGGAGCCATGCGTGTAGGCAGTGACGGCCTTGGAGTCACCTACGCTAGCCACGCTGCCGAATCCTGCCGGTATGCTGGTCCCAATTGCAGCAGCTGGACGACGAGACGACCCGGCCTCTTTGAGCTTCTCCTCTGCGATGTCGACGCCTTTCTTCCAGTCCTGTCTGTTTGGCTGATGCATTTTTTGGTGAGCTTCAGGGGCAACAAAGCTGGGATGGCCGCAGCAATCCAGACTAAAATGTCCATGATTCGGGCATCCTGCCCTGCGCGTGGAAGATTTTCTGGCACAACACGGGCAGGCCAATGACAGCATCACGGCACACAAGTGCTTCGGAAGCCGGCGACCACGAATTCACGTCGGACACTCCCTTCATGCATCCAACTTGCGCAGAATGAAGAGAGCCTGAACGTTGGGTGACTAAGCCCTGTAGACGCAAAATCCCGAAGCCGAAGCCTTTGAGTCCATCAGACATCAGAGTCCTCGACGTCCTCCTCTGTGAGGTCGATCTCGCACCAAGGATCTTCTGCTTTGCCCACGGTAACCTTCACCATGGCCTGAGCTAGCAGGCGAAGTTCCAACATGTCCCTCGGAAATTGGGAGAGGCCCTTCTTGAAGGCTCCATAGCTCCCACATGGGAGTGTCCAAACATAAGGGGGTACCGTATTTTGGGGTCCTTATAATAAGGATCCTATTATTTGGGGTACTATATTAGGGCCCCCTATTTTCGGAAACTCCCACATGTTCCCTCCCGCTGAGGGCCGGACGAGGCACTCCCAGCGAAGGCGCGGCTGCGGCGGTGAAGCGAGAGCTCAAACGGCTGCAGTTCAGGCGGTTGCAGGAACCTGGAACTCGCAGTGCCTGGGAAAACGTGGATTGGTAGCATGAGCTGTTTTACCATATCGGAGGCACCGTAACACGAGGGCCGTAGCCCTGAGCAACTCACACACTCACACTTCCGACTACACCAGTATATAGGCATCAACGGCTTCTCGGCTGCAGG